AATAATAATAATAATAATAATAATAATAATAACATTTATACCCCTCCCATCTGGCTGGGCTTCCCCAGCCACTCTGGGCGGCTTCCCAAAAAATATTAAAATACTGTAATACATCAAACATTAAAAGCTTCCCTAAACAGGGCTGCCTTCAGATGTCTTCTAAAAGTCTGGTAGTTGTTGTTCTCTTTGACATCTGGTGGGAGGGCGTTACACAGGGAGGGCGCCACTACCGAGAAGGCCCTCTGCCTGGTTCAATATTATACAATGATGATAATGATGATGATGATTTATACCCCACCCATCTGGCTGGGTTTCCCCAGAAAAACAACTTTACATTATAAAAATAAGGTGGGTTCTAAAAATATACGCATCTCACGTATCAAAAACTAGGGTAAAGAGGTGGGAGGGAGTTCTACAACTTAGGGGCCGCTACAAATAATGCCTTTCCTGGGCTGCCACCACCCCGATTTTCGGCATCTATGGAGAAGCAATTTCTGGCGCCGCAGAAGCAAGTCCCCGCTCCGTGCTGCACTGGTTTAGCGCAACACGCGGGGACTCACCGAGCAAGCCGCTTGGTTCAGGGACGGTTCCTGGGCCATTTAAACGACCCCCCATGGGCTGCTTGTGGCCCATGGGCCACAAGTTGCCAACCCCTGCTCTAAGGTGAACCAGCAGTAAATCACATCATTATTAGGCTAATTGAATACTTTACTTTTTTTTACTATACAGCTGTAGCCAGCAATTTGGAATTTTTATTACTTTGTTCAAAACATTCTCTTTTCAAGAAAATCAAATCTCTCTGCACTTTTTCCTTATCTTTATTTTCTAACTCCTTCCTTTTGTAATTGTGCATAACGTCTTTTATATTTATCATTAATATATTGATTTTCCAATGTCCTAATTTCTTCCTCTACCTTTTTCACTGCTTCTTGTTGTTGTTTTTTCAATTTACTGGATTCCCTAATACCAATTTCCCTCATCACCACTTTCATTGTATCCCATATTATTGCATGAGTACTTTGCCCCTTCTCATCAATCTCCCATATGTCAATATAATTCCTTTCCTATCTTATTTACTGTTTGACTATTATTGAAGATCCTTGTATCTAACCTCCATCTTCTGGCTTCCTTATAATCTTTATTTTTAATATCGTATTAACCAATGTGTGGTTGCTTGCCTTTACAATATTATTCCAATTTCCATATTCATTGTCTTATATATTAAGTTTTTTGAAACGAAGATATGATCTATCCTGGAATTGGTCTTATGCATTGGTGAGAAGAAAGAAAAGTTCTCTCCATACATGTTTCAGATCTTTCCCTTTCACAATTTTGGCTAATCCTCTAGTGTTACTACATCTTTCCTCTGGAGTAAGATTTGACTTACCGGTTTGTTTATCAAATACCATATTGAAATCTCCTGCTATAATCATATAGCCCTTTTGAATATAGCTTAAACACTTAATAACAAAATTCCATCTGACTTTCATTAGGACCATAAAAATAAATCATAGTGTATTTCCCCCCTCCCCCCGTTATTGTTCTCTTGATTATTATCATCATCATCAAACCTTTATTGGCATCACTTACAAACATTCATAATAAATAAGCCAGTCGTCATTTCAACAGTCATAATATAGTCGTCATTTCAACAGTACAGTCATTTGCCCAAGGGAAGAAAAGGCGAGCAATCTGTTTCATCTCTGTGGGTTTCCAGCAAGGGCAGGATCCTGCAGCATACTTCGGTGACAAAAAATCAAATAGAGGAACTGGAGGTGGTTGGAGGGTGGATGGAGGCTAACATTAACTATAACAAGCGAGATTGTAAAGTTTTGTATTTGTTTATATAATATGGCTCTAAAATTATAAACTGTGTGGAAATAATAATACTATATAATTAAGGCTTTTGATCTTTGATTTGCTTGGAAGAGGATAAAAGATTCTCCAGGGTGTGGACATCAGACAGAAGTAGAATCTCAGTAGCCGCTGGAGAGGTGTTAAAAAACCTTGGGCGGTTTCTTAGAATCTATGTGGGAGCTGTGTCGCAATTTTAATTTGGAAATCTGCCATTATGGAAGTCAAGATGGAGCTGCAGAACTACAAATAGTCATAGGAGGAGGTGAGCCTTTAATATGTCGTTATATTTGTATTTCCAGTTTGATTTGGTAAATCTCCCCAGGAAAGGCTAATGTTTGATGCAACCGGTCTGGGGAAATTAATGAGCAGACACTTAGACTTGATTTCATCGGAACTGAGTGAAGATGGCAGCTGCCAGCAGCGAAAAGACCTTTGGATTGATTCAGCAGAAACACCAGCATGTGAGGAGATGCTGCAAACTTATAGAGGGGAATCATAGACATAAAATCCATAGAGAAACACATCATTGCTTGTTTCAAGTCGCTTGTGGGAACAACTCAGAGGCCGTGAAAGAACGAAGGTTAACAACAGGAAGAATTAGAGGAACCATCAGAAGTGACTATGAAAAGCAGTAGAGATATGAGATGATCAGAACCCTCCAAACTTGAAGCATGGGAAGTCCTATTTATAATCTGGCAGAATATTCAGATTATTTGATATGTATATGTATAATTTGGAATATTTAATGTGATTGTATTGGATTGTTAAAGTGGAAAATTTAATAAAAATGAATTATTATTTTTTTAAAAAAAGTATGGGGATCTGGAGGTTGCCACTATCATTTTATTGTCTCAAACTACTCAGCAGAGCAGTGAAGAGAAAAAGGCTCATTTCAGACTACAAGTGGAACTATGTGAGTTGTGTGCTGCTGGCAATTGGCTGTTCCATACTTTGTCAGGCTGCTGCCCTTCAGGGTCATTGAACTACAACTCCTATCATCCCCGGCAGGCACATGCACATCTCACCCCTATTGGCTGAGCCCAGTCCTCCAGTCTTCTAAGGCTGAGTCAGAGGGTTTTATTTCTCCAGGTTCTATATATAGTTCGTTGGTAACTCAATCCATTTGATGTAATGCTTATCAGCATGCAGCGAGAAATCCCTGCAGGTTGCCAAGTGCGAAGAAACTTGTGCTACCTCTCTCTTTGTGCCTATGTTAAGAAGCTACTTTCCCCTGGCACTCATTAAGAATGAAAAGCATGTTCTGTGTTACAGTCAAAGAAGGAATAGGAAGTGTAAGCTTGGGCAAGAATTGTTTGCTTGCTTGTTTGTGCGTTTATTAAATTTGTATATCACCCTATAACCACAGGACTCAGAGCAGTTAATAGGATAAATTATTAGCATTAATGAAATGTGTATACTGCACTGACAATCACAGGGCAGTTTACAACATAAAAAAAGCCTTAAACTGCATCATAAATCTGCTTTAAAAACTTGGGCTGCCCACTAATATACGATTTGATGATTGGACAAAACTTTGGAAAGTTGATTTGAAGTTTTTGGATTGTATATTGTTAAAAGAGAATTATATGAAGATGATGTACAGGCGGTATGTCACACCAACAAAATTGGCAAGAATGTATAAAACAGAACAAATTGTTGGAGGTGTAAAGAAGGGGAAGGTACCTTTTACCATATGTGGTGGGAATGTAAGAATATTCAATTTTGGGGGGAAATGATATATAATGAATTGAAAAAAATGTTTGAAATGACATTTACTAAAAAAAAAGAAGCTTTTTTGATAGGAATTTTAGGACAACTGCTGAAAGAAAAACGGACATTATTTATGTATTTGACGACAGCAGCAAGAATTCTGATAGCACAGAACTGAAAGTCTGGAGAAATACCATCAAAGGAACAATGGCAAGAGAAGTTGATGAACTATGCAGAGTTGGCAAAGTTAACAGATAAACTACATGAAAAAGACAATAGTGACTTTGAAAAAGAATGGGAACCTTTTACATCATATTTGTAGAAACAACAAAAAAAATATAGAGTCACTGGCAGGATTTAAATAAACATTTGCAATTTTATTTATGAAAAAACAAGAAACTTAATAGTATGATAATATAGAAGTATATATAAACAGCAGAATGTAATATGAGATGTAATAAACCAGGGATGGAAGTTGAGGGAAGTCAGCAGGGAAGAGGGAAATTGAAACTTGAATGTACCTGTAATGTAATGATTACAGATATTGTAAAAATGAAAAACCCAATAAAAATGAATTAAAAAACAAAACAAAAACTTAGGCTGCCCAGACACAAACAATGTGTGTTTGCTTTCTCTGGTAGAAGTATTGTTACATTAAGGACTTTGGGGTTGATTATTTGCTAAAATCTCAGCCACCATGAATTTAATCATCCCACCCGACTTAGCCTTATGACTTCGAATGATCCCATCTTATGCTGACGCACAGGTAATCCAATGTGACCTGGTGTCTTTACTCCTGGCAGCAGCACACTTGAGGATAGCAGGTCACTGGAAGACTGCTGAATGAAAGGTTGGCTAGATAAACTGTAGGTTGTGGTTTGAGGACCCGACCCCTGCGATGTGAAATAAATACACAAGGACATGTGATATAAGGTTAATGGGCAAGAAAAGGCCACAACTTTATTGATTACAGCAGTGAAAAGGTATTGGCTTAGGCATTGGATGTCTAAAACAAGGGGGTTTATTCACCAGTAGGTGGAGCCTGTTGATGCTAATCCAACTATAGGCTCTCCCCTGATGTCACCGGGGGTCGTGCCATGGCCTCCCGCCAAGCAGGCATCGGACAGAGTACACGACCGCCAGATTCCTTTAACGGAATACCCAAAATTGAAGGCATAGGCGATGGCCACACCCAGCCCTTCGACACACCACAACACATTATTCCAATGCCTAACCGCCACCCGAGCCAATAAGGCTCGCCGCCAATACCCTCACGGCTGTAACCAATCCCTAATGCTGCTGATGACACTATCTAGCCAAATGTCGTTCCTCTGGTCTGAGAGATGCACCCCGGTATAAGGCCCGGTCGCCGATCCGGATTTGGTCATGATAAATGACTCGGCCATTCCTGAAGCGGACCCAACGGGCCACTGCCCGATTTACGAGTTTCCTGGTTTTTTCAATGGCCATACAGCTCAGCGCACCGCGCCAAAAAATTCTCTTCAGGAAGGAGGACCAGAACACCGTTGTTCTGGGGCACAAGGCAGCAAACGCATCCAAGTCTCTTTTTATATTCCACAACAAGTCCGCACTCCTTCTGTAAGCAAGGTCATTTTCCCCTAATTGAATGACAAGGATGCCGGGAGGGCCGAACGTGGCGACTTTTTCCCACAGCAATGGCATGCCTCTTCTCGAGAACCAGGAAACTCGAACACCGTGTGGCAGACCAAGATTAGGCGCAAGGCCGCAGCTGACCGCCCGTACGCGGGCCCAATGGACTATACTGTGGCCGCAAATCCACACGCTTCTCCTGATCACAGCTGAGGATGAAAGGACAGAAAAGGAGGTAAGTAGGGGTAATATAGCAGAGCGCATTCTAGCGAATATAACTTTTATAAGCATTGGATTTCCACCGGCCCATTTCTTTAATCCTATCCGCCGGCAGACCCAAGAGCACCGCTGTTGTGGTGGCGCCAATCCTGAATGAGTGTGCAGCATAATCCTGGGAAGATAAACCACAGGCATCAATAGCTTTGCGGAGTACCCTTGTGAATTGGTGTCTCAACAAAGGTGACCCATCCTCGTGAACCAGGAGCAGGCCAGGACCAGGCAGTCTGAGGTAAAGGTACCATCTAGTGTCCTTGACCGGGCATGGGCCCCGCTGCGCTGAAGCTGTAAGTTTTACAAGGGAACCCCTACCTGCCTGATCTGAGGACGGAGAAGAATGAGGCCGAGGAGAGGCTGGCGCCGCCGCAAAAGGCTGCTGAACACGCCCCCTCGAAGGCACCTTGTTGGATGCCTGCCGAGGGGGCGTGGGCGCCAGCCAGGTGAGAGGAGGAGGCAGGGGGCTAATGCCCCCTGCTAGGGGCGGTGCTCGGGCTCCCGCCCACAACCACTCCCCTCTCTTCCAGGGAGGAGAGTCTATGTGATGTTATCGGAAAGAAGAGCCACCCAAAATTATGTGGTTTGAGGGATAGCTAAGAAAACTGAATTTGATGTAATATGGTGGTCCCTTTATATCATAGCTGAACAAAGATGGGCATTTATAACAATTTCCAATGAGTCATAGAATCATAGAATTGCGGAGTTGGAAGTAACCCCAAGTGTCATCCAAACCAACCATCTGTGATGCAAGAATTGCCACTAAAGCATTCATGACAGATGGCCATCCAAACTCCCCTTAAAAACTTCCAGTGAAGGAGAGTCCACCACCTCCCGAAGGAGTCCATTCCGCTGTTGTACAGCTCCTACTGTTAGAAAGTTCTTCCTGACGTTTAGTCAGGAACTCATTTCTTGTAACTTGAATCCATTGGTACAGATCCTACCCTCCAGAGCAGGGGAAAACAAGCTTGCTCCATCCTCTGTGTAAGGTAAAAAAGTAAAGGTAAAGGACCGCTGGATGGTTAAGTCCAGTCAAAGACTACTATGGGGTTGCGGTGTTCATCTCGCTTTCAGGCTGAGGGAGCCGGCGTTTGTCCACAGACAGCTTTCTGGGTCATGTGGCCAGCATGACTAAACTGCTTCTGGCGCAATGGGACACCTTGATGGAGACCAGAACGCATGGAAATGCTGTTCACCTTCCCGGCACAGCGGTACCTATTTATCTGCTTGCACTGGTGTGCTTTTGGGCTGCTAGGTTGGCAGAAGCTGGGACAGAGCAATGGGAGCTTAACCCATTGCATGGATTCGAACCGTCGACCTTCCGATCAACATATTTGAAGATGGCTATGATATCTCATCTCATTTTCCTCTTATCCAGGCTAAACGTAACCAACTCCCTCACCAGTTTTGGTTCCCAGACCCTGGATCATCTTGATCACCCTCCTCTGCACACATTCCATCTTGTCAACATCCTTCTTGAACTGTGGTTCCCAGAACTGGAAACAACTCCAGCTATGCACATGACCTTCTTAAACCAGATGTTAAGGCGAGTTGAAGGCTTCTTTCCACATTTGTTTTTTTTTAAATAATGTTTATTACTTTTATAGATTACAAAAAGAGAAAAAAGAAGAGAAAAAGAAAAAACAGAAAAAAGACAAAGAAGGAAAGCAAAAAGAAAAAAAAACCAATACAATACAATATATAAACAATATAAAACACAACCTAAACTCAAAACTAAACACATTAAACTAAACTAAACAAACCCCACTCCCTAGCCTTAACCCTAAATAAAACAAAACAAAAACAATTTAAAAACCTACATCATCTCTTTTCCATACTCTATCTTTCATTCCCTTGTTTCCTCGACCTCCCTCACCTCCCTTTTTGTATTCCACTTCTTTTAATTTTTTCAGCAAATCCTTTCCATCTTTCTCCATTTTCTATCATATTGTATATAACGTATTTTTTAACCTTATTTTCCATTAAAACTAAAATACTTATATATACTTAACTCCTTATAACATTTCTGCTAAGCCCATAAAAAATCATTCCACCATTTTTCTATCACTCATTAGTTTTACCATAAGTCTATATATAAACTTTAAATATTCCAATCTGCTTCCACCATCTCCTCTCCCAGGTTTCGGATTCTGCCAGTCCTTTCTGTCAGTTCCATAAAGTCCATCAACCTGGTGATCTTATGTCCGAGGCTCTTAACTCTTTTCCGAGTCCCTTCTGCAGGTCTTCTTCATTTTCTTTAATGCTAAAGAGCAAATCTCGGGGAAACTCCAACCTGTCAATCCTTTTCTTTCTTCTGAACAGATCAGCCAAATTTCCATTGTTAAAGCTACAGTCCATAAAGTATTTCAGGGCATATTTCAAAATTCCTCCAAGTCCAAAGGCCCCCAAAACTTCAATCTCCTCCAGGCCCGAGTCCATGTCCCAAAAGTCAGTTAATCCCTGCATAGAGGGATCTTTCCAACTTTCCTTCTTTCGTCCAAGCCGGGGTCCATTCCTCAGAGTCTGACTTTTCCTAGATTCAATCATAAAAGGCCTCAACTTATAGTCCTCAATTTGCTTCTGTAAAGCCACGGATCTCACTTGTATTTCTTTATGTTCAACTTTATGTTCAACAACAGCAGCATTCTCCTTCTCCTCCTTCTCCTCCACCATTTGTCCTGCCAAAATGGATTCCTGTACCAAGTCCTGAATTATTTCTGTGTTGATGTTCGCTTTTTGACTCAAATTAGTCACTTTCTGTTCCAAATTATCAACTTTAAAAGTCATGTCATCCATCTTCTTGTGAAGCTGTCCCAGCGAACAGCTTATCTTACATAAAACAGTCACAATGGCCTCTCCTGTCAACATTTTTAAATGGTCCAAGGTCGCTCTCTGGTTCTCAGAATCCTTATCTGCAGCTGGAAATCCCCCAGTTACAGTCCTGTAACAGTTTCAAAAGCTCCCTCTAGAGGGAAACAGTCTCCACTTGTATCAGTTCTTTCAGGCGCGACTCAAGCATTAAAGATAAAACTTCAGTTACTTTTCCTCTTTTTTAAACACAGAGGAGGACAATGGAAACAGTATCTTACTCTTATTTAGCTAGCTGTCAAATCCGTTCTGTCAAATACACTCTCTCCAAACGTCATCTGGCAGCCCGTTCCCAAGTTCAGAGCAGTGGTAATTTAATTTTTCACTCTCTCCTGCAGGCTCACTAGATCCAAAATTCCCCCCTCTTCTCCTGCTTCCAAGGGGGGTTTTGTATTTTAAACCGATGGAAATTAAATCCTTTGCCAAGAGCTTTCAAAGACTTTAACTTGTAACGTCTTTGCTTCAGTCTATTTACAAAAACGGGAGGCGGACTTCCTGTTTATAACCTCCCGCTTCAGTGCCAAATTAAAGTATTTAAAAATCCAATTTTCTGATTTACTCACGAATAGTTGTTTAAAATCCAATTGTCCACAGGAAAAAGTCAGCGCTCTCCGGCAACAGCAATGCGGCTTCACTCCGTGAAAAAAACAGTCGATTCAAAGCACCGTGCCACTCACCCCACGTCGCTCCGGATCCCCAAAACAGGGTTTCCCCTCGAGTAGGGGAGGCGCAAAAGGTGCCAGTCGAATCCCAGGTTCACAAGCTTCTCCCGCTTGTGATTTCAATGGGTCTCCACCTTCGCCGTGGCGGTCAGACCCTGTTTTTCACGGAGCAAGTTCCTCCCGAACGGAGGAGTTCCGCCATTGCCGGAGGCGTCAACCCGGAAGTCGGCTTCTTTCCACATTTGGACTATTGTTCGTTGAGCAGAAACACAAGAGGGTTTGCATCATAGGTTTGCATTTACCTTGTGAAATACAGATATCAAGCATAGTTTAGGTTCCACAACAACAGGTTTCCCAATAATTTCAGCAACTTCCTTTGATATCCACTCCCAAAACTTGTGCACATGCTCACAGGACCACCACATATGCCCATACATCCCTCTCTCTTTGCAATCCCTCCAACGTAAGGAAGATCAAGATTTAGTCATATGAGTGAAGTACACTAGAATCAGAAATCACCGGCAGATTCCTTTTAGAAAGTTCTCCTGAATGTTTGTGGAGACAGAACTAAAGGGGCAAGTAGACCATAGTTTTGCCCATTGACAGCTGCCATGGTCTTACCCCAAATCTGTCTCCCAAACTGATTTCAGTGAAGGAAGTGGGAAGAATTGAAGGCTCATTGAAAATGAATGCATGTACAGGGATAGCTCAGTTGAGGCTGTGAGTTTGAGCCCTACATTAGAGGAAAGATTCCTGCATTTGTGGGGTTGTACTAGATCTCCAGCTGTTTTTGGATTATAGTTCCCATTATCCCTAAATAGCAAGACCAGTGGTCAGGGTTTATGGGAACTGTAGTCTGAAAACAGCTGGAGATCCAAGTTTGGGAAACACTGGACTAGATGATCCTCGTGGTCCCTTCCAATTCTATGATTCTATGAAACAAGCCCCCTTTGCAAGACCTCAAAGGGTTTTAAACTCCTTGTGTCTACCTCTCGGACCTCAGGTCTCCTAAGGGAAGATCTCCACTGTCAAATATTTAAACAGCTCAGCCCCAGGTTCTGCAGACACTTCATAAGGTTCAGTTCAGAGAGTGGAACCTTGCACTCATAAAAGTCAAGCAGATGTGCAAGGCTGACAATTGAGGGGGACGAGACTGAGGAGGAATGGTGGAGACTGCCGCCCCCTCCTCCTGAAGCGTCCAGGGAAGAGGAAGGCAGTATTGAATTACAGCTGTGGTTTGAGGAAGATCACAGCTCAGAGACAGGTGAACAGGTGAACAGAAGATTTGGGAGGTGTTGGGAGAAGAGAAGGAGGGGACAGAGCGAGAGCAGCCAGCTGAACGTTACCACTGGAGAGCATTTCTGACACCCCTTCTCCCAGAACTCAATGTGCATTGCAAGTGGAAGAGCAAAGGACTCAGAGACAATTAGCCCCTGGCGCCCACGGTAAGGGGAAGTGCTGTTGCTAGGAAGGGAGGGCGGAGGAGCTCAGTTGGAGCAACACCATTATTGTAGAGACAGCGTTCTTTTGTATCTCTTTGTGAATACCGAATAAATTATGTGGTGAGAACTCTTTTAGCTATCTGCCTTTTGACTGCCACCGGGGGAGGGATCATAATTCCCTGAAGTCTTGACAGAGCCTTGACAACAATTGCCACTTAGTTGTTAATCTGTCCATCTAGGCACACACCCATTGTGCAATTGTGAAAGAGTCAATTAAGTGTTTCCAGGAAAGCCATTGCTTCAGTACAAATGGGAGAGCTGTCAAGGTCAGGGGGAGGATGCCCTGAAATATCTGAAAGGCTACATCCTTCAGTACAGACCCTCTCAGGTGCTAAAATGGTGGTAGTCCCAACAGATAACGGAAGAGAGGCCATGCTCTGTCGCAGTTCCTAAGCTGTGCAATTGTGTTCCCACAAAGGTACATCCAGCACCTTCATTAATCAGTTTGCATTGTTTGCTGAAGACACAACTCTTTACCCCGCCCTTCGACACGTTTATATATTTTTAGGACCCACTCTGTTCTTCTGACTGTTATTTGTTTCAAACTCTTTTTAATGTATTTTGAATTGTTTTCACTGGGACCTTAGGGTGCACAGTTGTTTCTTAAAGATAAATCACAACAACAATAACAACGACTTCTGCTGGCAACCTCACAGCCTAAAAAATACAAAAATAAGCATGACTATTACCTAGGTCAACTCTTTCAATTCTTAAAAATGTTCCATTAACCTGTGCAAAGATTTTACTTTCTGGACACTGAATGCACTTCCACTTTACAAGCTCATTTTTCCGGAGGGTAGGATTCGATCCAGTGGCTTCAAGTTACAAGAAAGGAGATTCCAGCTAAACATCAGGAAGAACTTTCTGACAGTAAGAATTGTCTCCCTCATGATAAAAAATGTCATGATCCAGAAAGAGGGAGAATTCCGTGAAAGAAGAAGAGAGTTTGGATTTGATATCCCACTTTATCACTACCCGAAACTCAAACAACAGTGTAATGAGTATGGGTTGCTCGTGCGTAAGTTGCTGCCTCTCCTGGCTATGTTGCCTTGTTAAACCTTTCTGTCTGGACAGCCCTTCACTTCGTGACTGCCTCAGTCACTAGCAGAATCCGTCAGTGGGCGTTTCTTAAACCTTTTCCAACATAAAAGTTGTTTGACGCCAAGTCTCCTCCTACTCTCCCTGCGCGGAAGTCTTCTGCTCAGGGAGGACGTGGGTAGCGGAGGACCCGTGCTCTCCCCGCTGGTGTCCTGTGAAGAGTCCTGGAGCCCTCTCGCCGATTCCCCCATCTGCCCCCCTTTATCCCTGGTGTTGCGCTGATTTGCTTCCCCATCTGCTGAGCTGCCTCTCTCCCTGCTGGGCCCTTCTCCAGCATCATTTGAGAGCCTTCCCTCTGCCTCTAGCTCCGATGTCAGTTCCCTGACAAACAGTTAACTACTTCAAGTTTTATGCAGTAAAGTTGTTATACTGCATGGTTTGGATTTTATCTGCCTTCTTATTTTAAGCTGAACGAATGGGTTTCTGTGTAGCAAGTTTAAAAACTGACTCAACCCCCCCCCCCTTTTAAAGCACTTTTAAATGCGTAAGACTTGAACTGTTGAGCAAAACCATAATAAGGACACAACTGCATAAACAGTTCTGTCCTTTATCAGGACAGGCAAGGCATGGCCTTGGCTCCCCAGGGAATAACGAAAACACGTCAAAACTTTATCTTATGCACCGACCACAAAATACGCACAAGACCGGAGGTGGCGCCAACGGCAATGGCGGAATCCCTCTAATTCAGAGGGAGACCGCTCCACAGAAATCGGGTCTAAAACCGCTTCGGCGCAGCGGGGACCCTTCAAACCACAGGCGGGTGAAGCCTGTGACCCTGGGACTCGGCGGGCACTGTTTGCGCCCCCCCAATCTGCAAAGGAACCCGGTAACGGGCTCCGGAACAGAGCGGGGAAGTGGCGCTGTGCTGCGAGTCGTCTGCTTCTTTTGTGGAGTGAAGCCGCGTAGCTGTTGCCGGAGAGCGCTGCCTTTTTTCCTGGACAATTCGGACTTTAAAACAAATATCCGTGAGTACCCAGAATTTGAACAAATTGGGACATTAAATGAAGATTAGTGAAAAGGACAGAATTGGACTATAAAAAAAAAAAAGAAAAACCGATTGAATTTGGTACGGAGCGGTAAGGGCTAAACAGGAAGTCACCCTTCCGTTCTTTTGTAAATATAACAAAGCAAAGACAATTTATACTAGAGCTTTGAAAATTGCTTTTAAAAGAGTGGATTCCAACATTTCAAATTGGGAATATTTTTTTTTTTTGGACTATTTGAAGCAGTAAAAGGAAGTTATTTTCGTCCTGATCCTGGAGCGGGGAAGTCAGGACTGATGTGAACCAATCAAGATATCTGTGTGTGACAGATAGTTAAAAGAAGAGAATTTTTGTGATTCTACTGTTCCCTTTCGCATTTTAAAGGAATATATATGGATAAAGTATTTTAAGTAACATGGAAATGTATCAGAAACAAATATAAGTCTTCTCCCTAGGGGGAGCCTTAGAAACTGTAACTAATGCCAAGGACTTGACAGCTGTTACAAAGAATCGTGGGAGAGTGCAACAATGTTTTCAGAAGTTGTGGTTTGCCTGCTCAATAAAACAAATATTCTACTGGAAGAACTACATGATAAGGTGAACCAGATGGCCAAGTTGACTGGAAATCTCAGACTGGCAGTGGAAGGCGTTGATCAAACTGTGGGAATATATGTGGAGTCTATCCAGGACTCAAACCAGGAGTGTGTTTTGACAGAACAGGGGTTTGTGGCATTAAATCAGGAGTGTGGTTTGACAGAACAGTCTCAACAGGAGCTTGATCCTTCGGATTTGATAATGGAACTTGGAAAAAACCAGATATGGGAAGGGAAAGTTTGGCGTGGTTTGGAAATGGGGGGCTGGATTGACCCCCCTCTGTTGGGATATCTGGACTTTTTAAATACAGCAACAGGCAGCGACATGTTTGGAATGGTGGGGGCCCACAACTTTGGAGGGCCCTTGAAGTATGTTTTTAAATACTACATGGATTGCAGCGATGAACAGGGAAAAGGATCTGAACTGAAGAGAAGGGTTAAAAACACTATTAAGTTGGAGTTATTACAAGCAAGTGACTACAGCCACAAATATGAAGAAAAGCTGTGGAAGGGCCATGGAAGTGACTTGAGGGCCTCAGACATAAGGTCACCGGGTTAGATTGAGGAATAAGGACTGACAAATCCCGAAACCAGGAGGAAGGGACGTTGGATAAAGACTGGACTTGTTTATATGCTTTTTTTCTTTTTTTCTTTTTTCAATTAACAGAATGTTTTATAAAGTTGTTGAATGATAGAATGATAGAAAAATGAATGATAGAAAAATGTTGGAAGAAATTACCTGGCTTTAGTAAAGATGTATAAAGAATTATGAAAGAACATTATGAACATAAGAAGCTGGTAAAGTTAAGATCTAAATTTTAAATTTTAAGGTTTATTCTATCATAGAAAGATGGAAAGGATTTGCTGGGATAATTAACAACTAGAATACAAAGGAAGGGAGGTGGAGGAGGTCTAATGTTTTCTTTTCTTCTCTATTATTATTTTTCTTCTGTATTTTTCACTTTCTTATATTTTTATTTTTACTTTTGTATCTTTTTCTTTTTATTGTGTAAGTTTTTGTATTTTCTATTTTTTGTTATTGTGTAATTTTTGTATTCTTTTTGAAATCTCAATAAATATCATTATAAAAAAAAAACAAAATACGCACAAGACCAATGTCTGGGGAAAACGCCAAAAGCGTGTTCCCGGAGATTATGACGCGGCCCCCCCCCCCCAGATAAGAGTAGGAAGAGGAAGATCCTTTTATGGTCAGAAGTACAGGAAGGAAGATCCTTTTATGGTTGAGAGTACCAGAGCAGGAACATATGTGATGTCAACCTCCGTATACAAGTTGACGTGGCTGGGAAGGGGGAGAGGATGCCTGGAGAGTATATAAACTGCATGAAACCTGTCATTTCGTTGGACTTTGCTGTGGACCCACCACGCACGTGCCTTCTGCTATCCGGAGAGCAGAATAAACTCTTTCTTTGAACCAACTCGGTGTCATTTTGACTTCCTTGCTCCCGTCACGGAGCAACGCAGACCCAATCGGTGAACTCCAGTAAGGCTACAAAGCCTTTGCCCTTAGTCATCAGCAGGAAATGCTTCTGTTCACCTGCTTCATACTGAAAACCTTTCCTGGAATCACTATGCAAATATATAAATCAGTGCACCCTTTCTCTTTCTGCCAGGAACAGTAGTTAAATCTGTGGGCAAAGATAAACACATTCACTTCAAATCAACCAGCCTTTTGAAATTGTGATATAAAATTAACTTGGTGAAGAAGTTATTCTTGCTCAGCTATGCCATATTTACACATATATGAAACCTGAGCCTACATTCATAATAATAATATTAATAATAATAATAATTTATTATTTATACCCCACCCATCTGGCTGAGTTTCCCCAGCCACTCTGGGCGGCTTCCAATCAAGTATTAAAAACAATACAGCATTAAATATTAAAAACATTAGAGGGCTTCACAGAATTAACACCTCAAGAGGGTCTTGTTTCTCCCAGAACCAAAGCCTTGGATTCAAGCAGAGGTCCTGGCATGGCTTTCTCTCTCTTGCCTCTCAGTCCCATCACTGGAGCTCAGCTCTGCTCCAAACTTTGGCTTTGTCTGTTTAGGGAGGAGGCCTCGTTCACACACTGAGGCATTTAATGACTCTTCACCCAGCCTATCTCCTCATCAGGGGCTGGGCTGGCTAGTCCAAGAATTAGAAGCCTTAGTTAAATCCTAACACTTACTGGATCCAAGGATTAGAGGGGTATGGAACACCTTCAAACTCCTAACCATATGTTTCTGTGGCAGCTGGGCTTTACCTGTGCTCTAGAAAGATCCCACATTTCTCTCTGAGGCGTTCCCAAAGTAAAGGAAGGATTGAACTCTGATTAATAAGAATACACACAGAGGCTTGAACCAGCAAGACTCTGGGAAGGGTGCGTATCATAATCTCTCCCTGCCCCTCGGCCCAGGTCGTTTTATTCACAAAAGAACTTTTTACAGAGTGTTTGTAAGAACCAATCAGATTTCTTCTGAGCATTTCAACAAACCCCATGTGGGGACAAAGTTGAACTACCAAAACTAATTAAGCATGGGGAAAATAAAACAGAACTACAAAGGAGTGCATTTGGCAACCCCGGGAGGTGATAAACAAGCAATATACCGTATTTTTCGCTCCATAGGACGCACTTTTTCCCCTCCAAAAATGAAGGGGAAATGTGTGTGCGTCCTATGGAGCGAATGCAGGCTTTTGCTGAAGCCTGGAGAGCGAGAGGCATCGGTGCGCACTGACCTCTCTCGCTCTCCAGGCTTCAGGAAGCTATCCGCAAGCCGTGCAAGCCCAGTGGGAGTTCCCGCGGGCTCACAAGGCTTGCAGGCAGCAGCCTGCAGCCCCGGCGAGTGTCCGCAAGCCTTGCGCGCCCGGCAGGAGGTCCCGCCGAGCACGCGAGGCTTGGGGCAGCAGCCTGTCGCCCGAAGCACGGGGAGCCCTCCGGAGGGATCCCCGTGCTTCGGGCGAGTGTCTGCAAGCCTTGCGCGCCCGGCAGGAGGTCCCGGCCGAGCCGCGCAGCAGGGCCTCCGGGCTGCAGCCTGCGCGCCCGGCAGAGGTCCCGCAGCGCGCAGGCCTGGGCCGGAGGGCCTCCCGGGAGCCTCGGGCCAGTGTCTGCAGCCTTGCGCGCCCGGCAGGAGGTCCCGCCGAGCGCAGGTCTGGGGCTGCAGCCTGCGCCGAGCACGGGAGCCCTCCGGAGGGCTCCCGTGCTCGGGCGAGTGTCTGCAAGCCTCGCGCGCCCGGTGGGAGGTCCCGCCGAGCGCGCGAGGCTTGGGGCGGCAGCCCCGGCGGAGGGGGGGGGGATAATTTTTTTTATTCATTTTCCCCCCCAAAAAATGAGGTGCATCCTATGGGCCGGTGCGTCCTATAGAACGAAAAATACGGTACATGATAAGAAGGACGGCCAGGAGGACAGCGATCATTATCACCTTTATGTGAGACCTGTTTCCTGGCCCTAAGATTAACATCCTAAGATTAACATATCAGAAAAGCTACATCAAAAGAAGCTGTCCACTATCTTTGATGAGCCAGGATGCCTGCCTGCAGTATGTGGCTTATCAAGAAAGAGAAATGGAACAGGGATGCAGAGGTGTGGATTGATCAGGAATCATATCAAAATAGTTTAAACCCAGTCAACGCAATGCTTTCATTGCTGACACAGATGGCTTACTCTATATTTGTTATAATTCCTCATAGCAATCCCACCTGATCACTATACTCTCACCATGGAAGGTAGATTTGATATTTACTGCATGTTACATCTTGAGAGAAAACTATATGAAAATGATGTGTAGGTGGCCCTTAACACCATATAAACTAGCAAAGATGTATAAGAAAGTGCTAAGTACATGCTGGAAATGTCAACAGGAGGAAGAGTCCTTTTATCATATGTGGTGGTCCTGTGAAAAGGTGAAGGGTTTGGGGAAATACATATAATGAAATGAAAAGGGTGTTTAAACTGATAATTCCAAAAACAAACAAACAAACCCTGAAGCCTTTTTGCTAGGAATGGGGACAGACAATGCTGACTAGCTTATTTTTGTACACGACAGCAGCGGCCAGAACTTTATATGCACAGATGTAGAAAGAAGAAGGATTACCAACAAAGTAGGAGCAGCTTATGAAACTGATGGACCATGCTGAAGAAGAATAATAATAATAATAATAATAATAATAATAAACTTTTATTTGTATCCCGCCCTCCCCAGCCGAGAATGGGCTCAGGGCAGCTAACATCAAATATATAACATTGGTATAAAATCAAACAGTAATTAAATTACCTCCTAAAAACAAGTCAGGATCAAATTAAAATCTAATTAGATGGCTTTCCGCAGGATTAGGGTTGGGAACAGTAAATGTTGATCAGGCCCAACTGTTTACGCTGTTCTTATATGGGCCTGTGAGAATGCTGGGAGCCCTCTTTCATACCAGTTCTTACACAAAAAGAGAAGGGGAGTCAGGCTGCGCCCTGACCAAAGGCCTGGCAGAACTACTCCATCTTGCAGGCCCTGCGGAAAGATGTCAAATCCCACAGGGCCCTGATCTCTTGTGCCAAACTAAGAGGACTTAATGATGAAGTGTTGGAGACCACTGATGGTCTGTCTATTAAAGTATCAACCATACATGATGGATTTGACATGGATTAATGAAAGAGTAAACGATAGTGGAGTTTAAATAATAAAAACACATGTGGAGTAAAATGGATTAAAAAAACAAATGTCAGGAAAGGGTGTGTGTGGAAAGTTAAGAAGAAACTTTATGGGGGTTTTTATTTCAAAAATGTATAATGTTCTGGAATATTTTTGGAGATTTAATAAAAATGTGGGAGTTTTTTTGGGGGGGAGGAGGAAATGTTCCATATTTCTCTTCATTCTTCCTGGCTAGCGTCAAGGCTCAGGGAATCCTTTCCTTCCCCCTGGTAGCGGCAAGAAGTTTCTTCTGTGGTGATCCCTCGTAACCAAGTAAATTGCCTTCCATTAACATGGTTTTAACAATGAGTCCGTAAGTGACTGTAGAGGCCAATTCTGGATCTACACGTCCTTCCACAGTGGGGACATAGGTTTCCAGGTGGGAGTTGATCATGGTGTAGATTTGCCAAGCGTACCTTCCTCTTAGCACGTTTCTCCCTTGCATTCTAAGTTCGAGTGTCTTCAAAACCCATGACTCCTTTGGTAAAGGCTGTTCTCCAACTGGAGCACTTGCAGGCCAGTGTTTCCCAGTTGTCAGTGTTTTATACTACATTTTTTAAGATTTGCCTTGAGAGAGTCTTTAAACCTCTTTTGTTGACCACCAGCATTACGCTTTCCATTTTAAAGTTCGGAATAGAGTAGTTGCTTTGGAAGACAATGATCAGGCATCCACACAACAGGACCAGTCTAACGAAGCTGATGTTGAAGAATCATTGCTTCAACACTGGTGATCTTTGCTTCTTCCAGTACACTGATATTAGTTCCCCTGTCTTCCCAAGTGATGTGTACAAATTTTCGGAGACACCATTGATGGAATCTTTCAAGGAGTTGGAGATGGCGTTTATAAGTGGTCCATGTTTTCACAGGCACACAGTAAGGTTGGTAGTACAATAGTTTGTAAACAAGCATTTTGGTTTCCCTGAGAATGTCCTGGTCCTCAAACACTCTGCACTTCAATCGGGAGAAAGCCGCACTCGCAGAGCTCAGGCGATGCTGGATTTCGGCATCAATGTTGGCCCTTGTGGAAAGATAACTGCCTAGGTAGGAGAAGTGATCGACATTTTCCAACGTTACACCATTGAGTTGGATTTGTGGCACTGCAGAGGGGTTATTTTGTACTTGTTGGTGGCGAAGGTGGGCGTCACTTTGCCTGCCCTGAGGACCAAGGACCAGGTTGATGAGGCTGAAGCAGCTAGAATAAGTGGACCTGAAAAAGCCTTTTCAGCAACCAAAGGCGGGAGAGGTCATTAAAAAGCTGAAGGAAACCTGCTGTGAACTTCTAATGCAGCCGAGTGAGTATAACTCCCTAAAGGAAAAGAATGTGACTAGAGAGAAATCCTTGGGAGGAAAGAAAAATTGCTTACCTGATAAGGGCCGGGGGAGGCCTTGGAACCTCTCCCTTTTACCCAAAACTGACTTGCGGAGAGCCCTGCGACGGAACTAATGATTCTAGTTTAGTTTAATTAAGTTTTTAACTCAAAGTTTTAAGGTACTGAGACCCTGAAAGAAGACATATATATATATATATATTAAAATCCTTTTTAAGCATCTTGATTATTACCGGGGGAGCACCAGAGCCTCTGCGGTAATCACTTTGCAGCAATTGAAGAAGTAAACTCACCCCTGCTTCTCCACCACGTTGTCTTTCTTCTCTTTTACAATTACCTCTTATCTATTTATCTCAGTCAACGCATTGTAGCGTGTTTATTACAACAATAAAGAAATAATCTACAACTTTAAAGAAACAATGGTGACGACCAGGAGTGGCTGCAAAACCTCAGGCTTTTCTCTGAAAGCTGTAAGACCCACCTTTAAAAGAGCCACTTTAAAGAAAGCACAAACAAAAATCACTCACTTCTACATGAACAGAGCAAAATGTGGAACAAATGAGGAAACGACTGAAATGAATGAGAACAAGAACAAGAAGGGAAGGGAAATTCTACTCTCTCCTACCAATCTCTCTTACAGCTATAGTGAAGGACCGGTTATGCAAAGAAAGGAGTGTACTAAAAGCAGTGATAAAAGCCTGAATATATTGGAAGCAACACAAAATATCCTCGATACAGCCGATGAAGCATCCCCGAAACTGAAAGCCAAATCCCAAGTTCCTCTCGAACCATCGTTAGATCAAAAAATGGAGGAACTAATGTTAAAACAAATTTCGGAATTGGCCTCGGGAAATATTAAACCTTCGAAAGACTCTTATTCTCATTCCCACGAGACAAATGAAGAGGGTCTCTCAATCATCAAATGGCTAGTGCTCCTTACTGAGGACATTGAATCCATAAAGTCCTACTTGGACATTTGCACAAAAACTCTTACCATCATGGCTAACTCCTGTAAAACTCTCTGGAGAAAACCCGGAATGCCTGCAGAATTGGAAAGTAATCATGGCCTTGCCTCCACCCTTTGTAGGAGTGGCTTATCAAGGAAGGGTAAGAAAGCCTGCAGAGCTAAAGCTTGCAAAAGGAGATTCATAGTTGTAAAAAATGTTAAAAAAAGTAAAAACATAAAAAATCTTAAGACAGTGTATTATAAAAAAATGGTTTTTAAAAAGCTTTTTAACTTACTCGAGAGCACAACAGCCTCTGGCACTAGAGGGAACCCGGTGAAGTCTTTAGCCAAGAAGTCAGTTAAACAGGATTTGCCCCCAAACGTCTGTGCTGATAAAGCTCCGGATTGCCTAAAACCTTCAGCGCTTGCTCCACCACCAAGCTCTAAGCAAGATTTATTGCCCCAAGATCCATGGTCCTACGTGTTAACCATAGATAACTCCAAATCCAATAAGGAGAGCATTCCAACAAATAAGAACTGGAAGCTGGTGTTGCTTCAAAACAAACTTGTTTTTTTCAAGCTATCCTAAGCCTCCAGGATTTTTATCTCAAGAGGATCACAAAGTACATCTACTGAACCTCCTTAAGGCATACATGCCAGGTACTTTTTTTTTTTTTTTTATAATGATTTTATTAAGGTTTTAAACAAAGAAAAAAAGAAAAACACACACAAAAAACAATACAAAACTTAACAATAAAAACAAAACATAACAATTAAAAACAAACTCTCTTTTCCCCTCCAATTTTAGATTACTTATTTTCTGGACTTCCTCATACCTCCTTTTTTTGTATTCCAATCCACATTATTTGTCCAGCAGTTTCTTTTCCACTTTTTTAATCCCAATCTTTAATTTAATAAAATGTTAAAATATATAACTTCAACTTTTTTAAACCTAATCCTTACTCTTAATATCATATAGCTTTAAATTTTTCCCTTTTATTATCAAATTTCCATTTCTTTATACGTCTTTAATCTTAATCTTTAATCTTAATCTATACTTATTTTCAATCCAACATCACTCTAACATTCCTTAATTTTGCAGTGTTTCTGAAGATAGTCTTTGAATTTCTTCCAGTCTTCCTCCATCGACTCTTCTCCCTGGTCACGGATTCTGCCAGTCATTTCCGCCAATTCCATATAGTCCATAAGTTTCATCTGCCATTCCTCCAGCGTGGGAAGTTCTTGTGTCTTCCAATACTTTGCGATGAGTATTCTTGCTGCTGTTGTTGCATACATAAAGAAAGTTCTATCCTTTTTTAACACCATTTGGCTCACTATGCCCAGGAGAAAGGCTTCTGGTTTCTTGGGGAAGGTATACTTAAATACCTTTTTTAATTCATTATATATCATTTCCCAGAAAGCCTTAATCTTTGGGCACGTCCACCAAAGGTGAAAAATGTACCTTCAGTTTCTTTACATTTCCAACATTTATTATCGGGCAAGTGATAGATTTTCGCAAGCTTGACTGGGGTTATGTACCACCTGTATATCATTTTCATAATATTCTCTCTTAAGGCATTACATGCCGTAAATTTCATACCTGTGGTCCATAACTGTTCCCAGTCAGCAAACATAATGTTATGTCCAACGTCCTGCGCCCATTTAATCATGGCCGATTTTACTGTTTCATCCTGAGTATTCCATTTCAGCAGCAAGTTATACATTCTTGACAAATTCTTAGTTTTGGGTTCTAACAATTCTGTTTCTAATTTGGATCTTTCCACCTGGAAGCCAATTTTCCTGTCCAATTTAAATGCCTCCATTATCTGATAATAATGAAGCCAGTCTCGCACTTAGTTTTTTAGTTTTTCAAAACTCTGCAATTTCAGTCTATCTCCATCTTGTTCCAAAATTTCCCAATATTTTGGCCATTTGACCTCCATATTGAGCATATTGGTGACAGCCACCTTGCGGTTTTATTTTCTAACAAATCCTTATATCTTAATCAAACATTAAATAGTGCTTTCCTGACAATGTGGTTTTTAAATGCTTTATGTGCTTTGACCTTATCATACCATAAATATGCATGCCATCCAAATACATTATTGAAACCTTCCAAGTCCAAAATGTCAGTGTTTTCAAGAAGTAGCCATTCTTTCAGCCAGCAAAAGGCTGCTGATTCATAATAAAGTTTAAGGTCTGGCAGGGCAAATCCACCTCTTTCTTTTGCATCTGTTAGTATTTTAAATTTTATTCTAGGCTTCTTGCCCTGCCAGACAAATTTAGAGATATCTTTCTGCCACCTCTTGAAACAATCCATTTTGTCCACGATCTGCAAAGTTTGAAACAAAAACAACATTCTAGGCAATACATTCATTTTTATCGCAGCAATACGGCCTAGCAGTGAAAGCTTCAAATTTGACCAAATTTCTAAATCTTTTTTCACTTCTGACCAACATTTTTCATAATTATCTTTAAATAAATTCCCATTTTTTGCTGTCATGTTAATCCCCAGGTATTTAACTTTCTTAACCACTGTTAAACCTGTCTCATTCTGAAACCTCTCATGCCAGGTACTTTGAGTAATCCCTCGGAGTTGGACCAAGTGGAATATCTATATTTTGATGGCTTGCTTGCCAGGGCGGTGGCTACATTCCATGATCGGAGATTGGCAAAACTGATATATAAACACAGAGAACACCTAAAGACAAGTGGTGTAAAAATATCAAGGTTCTTTAAAAATGAGGCCTCTCCTATCCCACTAGTCCCCAGTTCTGCAACTTCGACTGCAGCACCTCATCAAAAGGCTGAATACCACACTTTAATTGATATAAAAGCCACTGAGGACTCACCTAATCACCACCCAGAGTTACTTACTAATGATCCTCAAAGACCAGTCTCTCCCGGGACTTTATATGAGGCGAGCCAAGGTAACGGGTTCGAAAGTTTTGAAAATAACTTAATTTACTCCTATTGCGCTCTCCCTCAAGAAACTCAGAACAAAATACTTTATAGACTGAATAACCTTCGCTCTTGTCTGACAAATCTGACAAAGGACCAACCGGGACCACACAACCAAAATATATCTGATTATGTCCCAGATCAGGCTTCATGCTTCTATCGTCACGAGCTGGATTTATGGGTCAGGAAACCCTCCGTTACCCCAGGCCAATTGGTTACTGCGGAGATGAATCCATCCTCTCAGATCTTGGAGCCGAAACACCCCTCCTATAATCCAGCTCGCATGCAATCCATCCCAGAGGCAAACCTGATCACTACATTAGCATGGGATAAAATGAGAGAATTAGATGAGACTGAATTGGGCTCCCCAAATAAAGTGCCCAGCATGGGTGCGCCAGGTTGCAACCCTAGCATTCCACCCTCCTCAAATGTGAGCATACTGAATACATCTTTAAACATCATTGAATTAGCATCTGAACTATCTGAACCCGCTGAAAGGGCTAATAGTAAGAACCAGAGAATCTTGGTGTGACATACGGAATGCACCACGCATACCTCACTAGCACCCTTAAATCAAAGATCTCTCCAAACTCTTTCTATTATGTCCTGGAATGTAGCTGGACTTTCATGTAAATTAGCTGATTCTGATTTTATAAATTTTCTTGAGTCTTATGAAATAATACTTTTGCAGGAAACCTGGTCTCTTAAACCTTTAAATATCCCTAATTTTATTACTTACAATTTATCCGCTACTAAAATGTCAACAAAAGGTCGCCCTAAAGCCGGTTTGATCTGTGGTATTAAACAGTCTTCTAACCTTAAAATTAATTATATCAGAAATATTGGACAGTATGCACAATTGTTATCATTTACCATTGTTTACAGGGAAATTCTTCTTTTAAATATATATTTTCCTCCCATAGAGTTTGAAATTAGACCAGATTATGGTTGGAATATAGTCTCTGAAGAGCTGTATTTAATACGTAGTAAATCTCCAAATATTCCCCTGATTGTAATGGGAGACACCAATGCTTGAATTGGATAAGATAATATAGCTCTCTATAAACGCTATGTCTCAAATCTAGCTGAAGATGCCCCACTTCCATTGAGAATAGGGAGGAATTCAAAGGACATCATTACTAATAAAGCGGGAGGAAAACTTTTGTAATTGGTTTTAGAATTTAACCTCTCATTTTTGAATGGCTCAGTGTGGCCGGATATTCCAGGAAATTTTACCTTCAGCTCCAAAAGGGGTAGGAGCGTAATTGACTATTCTCTAGTTTCCGTTGAAATGTTAAATGAAGTTGCCTCTTTTACAGTTGTTCCTCGCTCAGAGAGTGACCATTTCCCAATAGTTTTAGAGATGTACAGGAATCCTAGAAATAATGATATTAGTCCTCCTATTAGTATTGATAAGACTATTTATGCCAAAAGAATTTATATAAGTGATAAAAATAGGGAGGATTTATTGGCTGTATTTGAAAATAACCCAGTTATTCTCGAACCTGTGGCTAACCAAAATTTGTTGCCCTTGGAGGACAATGATTGTTATTATAAGACTATCCAGGAATTATTTTCTTCTTTTTTAGACCTTCAGTTCAGCAACAAACCTTTAAATAAGTATAACTGGTTTGATAAAGACTGTATTAACTATAAGAAAGAACTTAGAATTTGTCTAAAAGAAGCCTATACTACCAACTCTCAAGGTCTCTGGAAGACTTATTTTGAAATGAAAAATGCTTTTAAGAACATGCTCCTGGAAAAAAAATCTGAGTTTGCACTAGCCAAATGGTCTAAAATTGTTACCGCATTAGAAATCAAAGATACCAAAACCTTTTGGTCACTTCTCTCAATAAAAGATATCACTGATTTCCCTAATATAAGCGATGAGGCTTGGATTTCACATTTTACTGATGTTTTTTATGATCACCAAGTTTGTAAAAAGGAAAATTTTAAATTTTCTTTGGCAAAAACCACACAATTTCAAATTACTGTTGAGGAGATGAAAAGGATAATTTTTTCGTTTAAGCAAGGGAAATCACCTGGTATGGATGGCATTCTAATAGACCTGTTGAGATTAGATGTAGAATGGTGGGCCATTAAACTTGTGCCGCTTTTAATTCTATCTATCACTCAGCCCTTGTACCTAAGTCGTGGAACAACTCAATAGTGGTACCGATCTTTAAAGGTGATAGGAATTGTCAAGAGAATTACAGGCCTATAAGTCTGTTACCATGCATAAGTAAAATCTATGCCAAATCTCTGCTTATTAAATTGGAAGAATGGATGCTGACAAAAGGTCTACCTGGTAAAGAGCAGGCTGGTTTTAAGGCAGGCGCGTCAACCCTTGACCAGTGTCTAGTGTTAAGTCATCTTGTGGATAAATATGTCATGAGAAATAAACAAAAACTCTTTGTGGCATTTGTGGATTTAAAAAGTGCCTTTGATTCGGTCGACCGTAACAAACTATGGACTAAACTAGAACACCTTGGTATCGACCCATATCTACTTACACTGATTCAAAGTTTACATTCTAATAACCAAATATATGTTAAAGTATCAAAAGATGGTAGACTTGCAGGTCCTATTCTGAATAATCGAGGAGTTAGGCAAGGCTGTATCTTGGCCCCTACCTTATTTAATTTATTTTTATCTGACCTACCATTATTTCTTCAAAATGCAACCACTCATACTCCTTATTTAAACAATAGCCCACTTTTTTTATTACTTTATGCAGATGATGCTGTAATTATTTCACTCTCTGTTTTGGGTCTAAAAAAATTATTTAAGAGTTTCTCAAACTACTGCTCTCTCAATAATCTCAAAATTAATTATGATAAGACAAAGATTATGCAATTTGGAAAGAGAGGGAACCCAAAAGGCTGTATAATTAATGGACATTTAATACAGGAAGTTAAGCACTTCAATTACCTGGGAATCACATTTAAAAATAATATGAATTGGAATACACATATATGTGCTGCAATAGTTAAGGCCAAAGTGGCAGCCCACCATATTAAATCCTACTTTTTTTTCTCCAGTAGGAAACAGATTTATTCCAGCTGTATTGCAAGTGATTGACATGAAACTTTGTGCCCAACTTCTATACGGCACACCAGTGTGGATTTCAGGTGACCTCAAGAGGTTGGATAAATTCCACACATCCCTTCTGAGGTCATTATTAGGACTTGCAAACTCTGTAAAATATGAAACAATATGTTGTGAGCTGGGAATATTGCCTTTATCAGTAAGAGCATGGCTGAGGACCTTGAAATATTGGATCTTCCTCCATTATAGAGCCCTATCCCCTAATTCTCTACTTTACGATCTTTTAAGTGATAGTGCAATCTACAATCTAGCATTGATTTGTAGGAGAAAACTGGATTCGATAGGGCTCACTCTAATTGATTTTGAAAACTCTGATCCCAAAGACATATGGGAAATTATCAGGAAGACTCTTACAGAAAAAAGTGTTCTCGCCATGCTTGAGGCTGCAAAGCACAGCACTTGCTCTCCTATCCACTTAAATCTCCCTTTGTGTAGAGATTTCCAAAAGGGATACATGACAAATCTGAAGAAACATGAATCGTGTAGGCTGTTTATGTTGGCCAGATTCAACATGTTTCCCTTGGTGGTAGTGAGAGGAAGATACTTAGCTATCCCAGAATCAGAGATTCTCTGCAAATGCAGAAAACAGGAACCCGATACTCTAGAGCATATATTCTTTTCCTGTGATTTTGGTAGTTATGCCAGAAAACAATTATTTGAGGCCCTAAAAGTTAATAGACAGATTTTTACACAACCAACTGTTCAGGACCTGCTGGCGGACAGCGATGATCAAATTACTTTAATAGCGGCTGAATTTTTAAGTGCTGTCCATGAAGAAAGAATGGGCCATGATAAAGAGACTTAGTGGTTTTTAATGGTAGGTGATGTTGCTGTGTTGTTGTATTATATTATCTATGTACATCGATTTATTTCTTGGAGTTAAGAATAGGACTGGGATAAATTGTGTTCGCTGAGCCCGTATTTTATACAGTCTGTATATGATGTTTGTTTGTTAGTGTGTGGTGTGCCATGCCTAATAAAGGATTTAATAAGTAAGTTGTACTTGTTGGTGCAGCACTTTGGTTTTTTGGATGTTGAGTGATAGGCCAAGCATTCTGTAAGCTTCTGCAAATATATTTAGGATGGGTTGGAGGTCATCCTCTGAGTGTGCGCACACTACGTTGTCATCAGCATACTGAAGCTCTATGATGGAAGTTACGGTAACCTTACTCTTTGCTTTCAGCCTGCTCAGATTGAAGAACTTTCCATCTGTTCGATAAATGATTTCTACTCTGGTGGGGAGTTTCCCTTCGACAAAATGTAGGATCATGGCAATGAAAATAATGAATAGAGTTGGGGCAATAACACAACCCTGTTTAACACCTGATCCCACTGAGAATGGTTCACTTTGAGAGCCATTGTTATCTGTGATTGTTGCTGTCATATTATCATGGAGGAGCCGAAAGATGTTTACAAATTTATCTGGGCAGCCAATTTTCAGAAGGACAGTCCATAGGGCATTACGATTTACAGTGTCGAAAGCCTTAAAGGTAAAGGTACCCCTGCCCGTATGGGCCAGTCGTGTCCGACTCTGGGGTTGCGCGCCCATCTCGCTTAAGAGGCCGGGGGCCAGCGCTGTCCGAAGACACTTCTGGGTCACGTGGCCAGCGTGACAAGCTGCATCTGGCGAGCCAGCGCAGCACACGGAAACGCCGTTTACCTTCCCGCTAGTAAGCGGTCCCTATTTATCTACTTGCACCCGGGGGTGCTTTCGAACTGCTAGGTTGGCAGGCGCTGGGACCGAGCAACGGGAGCGCACCCCGCCGTGGGGATTCGAACCGCTGACCTGATGATCGGCAAGTCCTAGGCGCTGAGGTTTTACCCACAGCGCCACCCACGTCCCTAGGACAGTCCATAGGGCATTACGATTTACAGTGTCGAAAGCCTTAGTCAGGTCAATAAATGCCATAGGCAGGGGTTGGTTTTGCTCTCTGCATTTTTCTTGAAACTATCAAGCAGTGAAAATCATGTCCACTGTCCCCCTAGAAGGCCGAAAACCATTTTGGGATTCAGGAAGGGTCACCTCGGATATTGTTAAGAGACAGTTTGCTAAGATCCTTGCAAGAATTTGCTGGCCGCAGCTAATAGAGAGATGCCTCAATAGTTTCCACAATCAGTTCTGTAACCTTTTTTTCAAAGAGATTGATAATTTTGGCATCCCTGAAGTCTGCTGGGATCTCTTCTCTTTCCCAGATTTTTTGGACGAGCTTGTGAAGTTGTTGTGTAAGTTCAATTCCACCCACTTTGAAGATTTTGGCAGGTATCCCATCAGGTCCACTGGCTTTGTTGTTTTTCATTTGGTTAATAGCTGTACACAATTCTCCCATGAGCTTGCATTATGAGCGGCAAGAAGAAACAGCTAACAAGAAGAGTCCGTACTATGTAATTTATTCAGGATTTACAGAGAGGGACAAAGGAATGCAGTCCCTATCCATCACTGTTATTCCTCCGAGTAATCTCCCTCCTTTCCCTCTCTGTCGTCAGCAGCAGCTTCACTCCCCTTACTGGTAAAGCCCTTTGTGGGTTTGCTTTCTGCTCTTCCACTCTATCAGCTGTCCTAGTTCTGGGGGAAGGCGAGGTCTGCAATGCTTCTAATGATAATGTGTCAGCCAGCTGTTCTGGCTCTGTTGCATCCCCCGCCTACCCTTCCATTATCTCCCAGCTCTGTCTTTCTTCTGTCTCAGAGTCATGACGTTCTGCAAACCACTGTTGTAATTCTATACTGCCCTTCTCTTCTCGGGAAGATTCAGGAGGAGTAGGGGGCAGCCTCCACCATTCCTATTCAGTCCAGTCCCTGACATCTAGATGGACTCCTGCTGAATCAGGTCAAAGGCTCACCTAGTCCAGCATCCTGTTCTCACCAGAGGCCTATCAGAAGCCAACAAGCAGGACACAGGGGCAACTGCACTCTCCCCTCCAGCTGCGTTTCCCAGCAGCTGATATTCAGGGGCATATTGCCTTCAGTGCTAGAAGTGGTGCACAGCCGCCGTGGCACCAGGGCAGCCATTGACAGCCCTATCTTCTATCTTGTGTTGGGACAGATTAGAGGCAGAGATCTGTTAATAATAATAAATTATTAGGCTCAGGGTGGCTAACACCAATAAAATCACAGTAAAAACATAAAAGGGGGGAAAACAAAACAAAACACCAATTTAAAATACAAGTTAAAATACAATTTAAAATGCAGCCTCATTTTAAAGGTAGCCGATAAATCAAGACCATAAGGGGAGGGAAACATAAGGGTCAGACTGAGTCCAAACCAAAGGCCAGGCGGAACAGCTCTGTCTAGCAGGCCCTGTGGAAAGATGTCAAGTCCCGCAGGGCCCTAGTCTCTTGTGACAGAGCCTTCCACCAAGTTGGGGCCAGTACTGAAAAGGCCCTGGCCCTAGTTGAGACCAATCTAAACACCTTGCGACCTGGGACCTCCAAAATGTTGTCATTTGTGGACCTTAAGGTCCTCCACGGGGCATACCAGGAGAGGCGGTCCCATAGGTACATGGGTCCTAGGCCGCATAGGGCTTTAAAGGTCAAAACCAGCACCTTAAACCTGACCCTGTACTCCACCGGCAGCCAGTGCAGTTGGTAAAGCACTGGATGAATGTTATTCCGTGGCAAGGACCCCGTAAGGAGCCTCGCTGCGGCATTCTGCACCCGCTGGAGTTTCTGGATCAGCTTCAAGGGCAGCCCCGCGTAGAGTGAGTTACAATAATCAAACCTGGAGGTGACCATCGCATGGATCACTGTGGCCAGATCAGGGCGAGAAAGGTAAGGGACCAACTGCTTAATATGGTGGAGATGGGAAAATGCCACCTTTGCTGTGGCTGCAACCTGCGCCTCCATGGAAAGGGAGGTGTTGAAGGTGACACCCAAGCTCTTGACAGAAGGCACTGGCACTAATTGAGCCCCCGCAAGAGGGGAGTTGGCCCCCCAACCCCATGTCATCCCGACCAAACCAGAGGACCTCTGTCTTCGAAGGATTTAACTTCAACCGGCTCCCACACAGCCATCCAACCACAGGTTCCAAGCATCTGGTCAGTGTGTCCGGGGCCGAGTCAGGGCAGTCGTCCATCAACAGATAAAGCTGGGTGTCATCAGCATATTGATGAGAACCCAGTCCAAAGCTCCGGACAATCTGGGCAAGGGGGCGCATAAAGATATTAAAAAGCATCAGGAAAGGATTGCACCCAGCGGGACTCCACACACCAAGGAGTGCTGTGGTGACAACTCCCTCCCTAGCACCACCCTCTTTCCCCGACCTGAGATAAAGGAGCACGGCCATTGTTGGACTGTGCCCTGAATCCCCATGTCAGCAAGGCGGTGGTCCAAAAGTTCATGATCAACCATGTCAAAGGCTGCTGATAGATCTAGGAGAATCAGCAGTCCTGACCTGCCTCAATCCAGCTGTCTATGGAGATCATCTGTTAGGGCGACCAAAGCCGTCTCGGTCCCGTAACCAGGGCGAAAGCCGGACTGAAATGGGTCCAGAGCCGATGTTTCATCCAGAAACCTACCAAGCTGTTCAGCAACCACTCTCTCAATTACCTTACCCAGGTACAGAAGATTTGAATAGAATAATTGGATAGATCTAAAGGATCTAGGAGGGACGTGGGTGGCACTGTGGGTTAAACCACAGAGCCAAGGACTTGCCGATCAGAAGGTCGGTGGTTCGAATCCCCGCAACGGGGTGAGCTCCCGTTGCTCGGTCCCTGCTCCTGCCAACCTAGCAGTTCGAAAGCACGTCAAAGTGCAAGTAGATAAATAGGTATCGCTCCGGCGGGAAGGTAAACGGTGTTTCCTGCTGGCCGCATGACCCGGAAGCTGTACGCCGGCTCCCTTGGCCAGTAAAGTGAGATGAGCGCCGCAACCCCAGAGTTGGCCACGACTGGACCTAATGGTCAGGGGTCCCTTTACCTTTAAAGGATCTAGAGATGTTTTCTTTAAGAGCGGACGCACCACTGCTTCCTTCAACTCCCCTGGGAAAGTCCCCTAAGTTGCATCCTAAGATGTTCTTGGCAGATCTTGCCACATGAATTGCCTCCCTTATGGCTGTTTTCCTTTCAGAGTCTTGAGTTTGCCTAACGGCTGTTGCTTTCCTGTTCCCTTAATCCCCAGTAAATGCCAGTGAAGCCTACAGTGAAGCCTTTCAGGATTTAAACACTGACACAGTTACTTCAATCTGCAGGGTGCAATTATCACACCCATCTTGCTTTATCCTGAATTTACCAAGAAATTGCTCATCAAGGTGTAGTGTCCTGGTGCAGAGTAGCCAGCCCATCTCTCCCACCAGCATTCTCCAACCTTCTGCCCTCCAGAAGTTGTTGCAGCTCCCAACAGCTCCAGCCGGCTTGGCCAGTTGCCAGGGGTGGTGAGAATCTGAGATCAACAACAGCTGGAAGGCTCCAAATTGGGGGACGACAACAACAACAATGCTTTTTTCCCAGGGGATACTTGAGGGTAGGCAGTACCAACACTTCTTTTTTGTTGTTACTGGAACAACTTCTTGGTGGGTACCTAGATTTGAAATTTGCATGGTCTGTCTTAGCAGCAGGATCACTGGCCGTGGTCCTGAAAACCCACAGCTGATTCCCTCTTGTGCTTTGGCTTCCTGGGACTGCTGATCTCCCCCTTGCCTGGACTATTTACTTATTTGCAGTGGTCTGAATCCGTGTGGATCAGGACACTTGTACGGTGCCTTACGCACCACCTGCCAAGAATGTCAAAGGCCTGGTTGAAGAGGAATGCTTTTGCCAGGAGCCGAAATGTGTATAATGAAGGCGCCAGCCATACCTCCCTGGGGAGAACATACCACAAATGGGGAGCCACTGCAAAAAAGGCCCATTCTCGCGTTGCCACTTTTCTGACCTCTTGTGGAAGAGGCGCATGAAGAAGGACCTCAGAAGATGATCTCAGGGTCTGGGTAGGTTCATATGGAGAGAGGCAGACCTTGAGGTACTGCAGTTCTGAGCTGTTTAAGCCTTTATAGGT